AAAGGCACTAGACTTCCACATTGCCATAAAGAGTAAGTCAAAGATTTGATAGCGCAGGCAGTAGTAAGTTCCTGTCCCGCCTGCCAGTCTCCCAACTATTTGTGCAGCCCCAGCCCATCAGCCCACATTTCTACTTTTTCTCTGTTTTGCCTAAAATCTGAGGTAGGAGAAATTCTACAGAACCCCCAAACCACATTGACTGATTTGACTGGTCCTAGTAAAGACAGAACAGAATATGACAGAATATGAAGAAACGAAATGTTTCCAATTGGCAAAGGTGTCAGACAAGGATGTACTTTATCTCCCTATAGCTTACTGATGTTTGTATTTTGTCACTTTTCACCCTTGGTTTGAAGCTTCTTGCTTATAATCTTTCGTTTCCTTCAAAAATTTAATTTTCCTTTTATAATTCTGAAATTTTTCACATTTTGGTAAGGATATTTGGTAAGGATATTTTCACATTTTGGTAAGGATATTTGCACATTATGTATATAGGTTTTCAGCAGCATAACTGAACAGTTGAAATGGTAGCAGTATAATTTATTTATTTATTTATTAAATTTACATCCCACCCTCCCCACCGTGGCGGGCTCAGGGCAGCTAACAGCATACTGTTTGCCGAATTGCTTTATTTACAGCAATTGGCAATTTATGAATGGGTTCTTGCCAGTTTATACCAAGGTCCTGTTCCCACTAAGGGTTGCCAGTAAAGGATTCGAGGCTGTTGTGGTTCAAATAGATGTCTTTTACTTAATAATATATATCAGACAAACAATACTGATGCACTCACACATTCAATCAAGTTCCTTAGAATTACAGTGTTAAAATAAGCACGTTTGCATTAGCAGGTAGGGGTGACGGTGGGTGATACTTATCTGTCTTGCAGCTTGGTTGTTCCAATGAAGAACAGAGGGGAAGAAATAGAAAACTAAGGAATTCACACACAACCAGAACCAGCCAGAACGTGTGGGCAGTAGAGGCAAGGGTTGGGGATAGCAAGTGGGACTTAAGAGGGGTTAAAGCAGACAGGGGTTGTTGCGGGGGAGATGCTAGTTGATCAAGTAGGAGGTGCCAGGTGACTGGTTCTCTCCTTTTCTAGTGGGTTCAAGGGATGGGCGGTAACCATGCCAACCTCTTGGCCCACCTACCTGTTAGTCCGTCCCAAAAACAATCCTATTGGTTGCATGGAGGGAGGGGTGGTTACCTAAGAGGGTTGGCCAATATTGAAACCTAAAACCTTGCTCAAAGGATGGCATCTGGACAGGTGTGAAAACCTTGGCGTCAGGAAACCTCATTGTGTTGCTGATGAAGCTGGCCATTCTATTGATAACCAAATGTCCATTTGGCAGGAAATACCAAAGCAGGAACAAAGCAGACGATGGGTGATACGTGACCACAAACAGTTTTGCAATGGGGGCTGTCTCTGCTCAGAGTTGTTCTCTCATTGCTCACAATAATGGAGGTTTGTGCTTCTTCACCAGGCTGGTAACTGTGTAGCTGAAACCTTATTTACGTGTATGGCTTGTGCAGGCACCTTCTATGTGTAGTATCACAACAGGTGACTTAAAGTGTACAGTCTTCTGAGCCTGTGTGTGTGTGTGCACAGTCCATTGTGTGTAGCAATAAATATAGTCCATAAAGTAAATATCAAGTTCATTCTCTAACAATACATATAAATGTGTATATTAAAACTCCAATATATATTAAAACAGCATTAGGTTAAGGATTAAATAGGTTTGTAGCTCAGCAGTTCAAGACCCGAGCGCTGCAGGATGGAGTGAGCTCCTGTCTCTGGCCCCAGTTCCTGCCAGCCTAACAGTCTGAAAGCAAGAAATTGCAAGTAGATAAATAGGTACCATTTTGGTGGGAAGGTAACAGCATTCTGTGTGCCTCAGTGTTTAGTCATGCCAGCCACATGACCATGGAAATGTCTTCAGACAGCGCTGGCCTTTCAGCTTGGAAACGGAGATGAGCACCGCCCCCTAGAGTCGGATTCAACTGGCTTTTGAGCAAGGGAAACCTTTACGTTGGATTTTTTGGCCCATTGGTTGGGACTCAAAACCCCAGGCTGAAAGTGCAAATGTTTATGCTAAAACACTCTTTGCTTATCTCCAGAGGTTTAAGTTTTCCACAGTGGGGATGGTGTTTACACATTCATAGCAAAAAAGTTAATAAAACCCATAGAATAGGCCAGTTAGATCCATGGAAAACACATTCTAAACATCTGGACTTCCAGTGTACTAGAACACTGTGGCAACAATTTGGGAAAGCATCCTTAGCTACTTCCTCTGCTTGAAAGTCCAGGGACAGCATAGGAGTATCTCCAAGACTATTAGCCAGAGAAACAAGAGGTAACCTATCACTGACAAGTGAACTTTCATGTCCCAGGGCCAGAACTTATTGCAGCTTTAGCCTTGCTCAAATTCAGTTTATCCACATTCAACTCCGGCTAGACAGAAATAACTGCAAGGTCAAGTGCCTAAGGCCAAGACAACTAGACAAGAGTAGTATAATAATGATCTCTTGGTCTGAACATGTTGTGTTCTTTGGAGGAGCACTACCTGTACCACCTAGCTAAGGATGGCTTTCGAAGTTCATAGTTAAAATTAGTTGATGATAGGCTACGGAGAATGAGCTTTTCCCTCAAGCTCTTAAACCAAATAGATTATCCCTCTGCAAGCAAACTGATCAAATCTTACATTTTGATAAATGGAGTACTGGATGCAGGGTGTGTTCCTCACATCATTTGGGTCTTTCAGTTCCAAAGACTCTACCTGCTTGCTGTAAGTTTCTAATGGTTCCCAAATACAGAATACTATTCTCAAAGGCAAGACTAAATGTCCTGCCACTAGGGGAACTAGCAGACAGGAGTTCCTAGGAATTCCTTTCTTGAGTGACTATGTGACTGCAAATCTGGTAACTTAAGACACCATCTGGCACTTCTTTATTGATTGTAACAAATACAATTCGGCTTGTGACAATTGGATCACAATTTAATATCCAAAAAGGGAGTTTTGTCACAAAACAAGAAGTTGTAGCTAAGTTGCCAGCAGATACCAATCCAAATGTGGCTGTTGCAGTTGCAAAATTTTTGTCTATGGCATTTAATAGTACCACTTCCCAACGTAAAAAAATTGTATACTTATGTTTTTCACATTGTCTTTATATTAATATCATTTTCCCTGTTTGCTTATGACCTGTTGCTCTACGAGCATTAAAAAAAGACTATGGAGACTACCAGCACTTGGTATCACCAAGCAACTGATCCACAAGAAGAGGATGGGATTGACTTGTGCCTTATTTGTCTCTGTATGCTGCAGTACTCAAAGGCTGCAATGAATTTAAAGATTAAGAGAAATGGATATAATTAGTATAATCATGGCTCAACTGTTTCATGCTGGAGGAAGCAGCTGCGCAGACATAATAGCACATATGCAAATTAAGTAGCATGATTATATCTACTAAGTAAAGGTAGGAGAAGTTCAAAATTCCCTGCAAGCACGTGGTAACTGAAGTGGCGATCATGCAGCTCACTATGACAAGCCTTTTCTACCAACCGAGGGGACCCACACAACCTTATGATTTTGGGGGGACCAGATTTTTTTTTTATTCTGTAAACCTTCCCTTCAGTTACAAGATGTTCTTGTGGTAGCAAGTGTAAAGGCTTTGGGTTTGTTGGTGCGAGGTAATGTGGTGAGCGGAAAGCGCAGAGAGACCATGGAGGCTGGAGTTGTATGTAAAACAGAGATTGGTTTACAGGTTCTTCAAAAAGAACAGATCAGCAGCCCAGATCTCTAGCTAACTAAAGGAAAAGCCTGACTGAGGCATATACATTTAAGCTTGTTATGGCTTCAGTGTGTGGTTTAAACTCTCCTTAACGGTTGTAGGTACAAACAGGCTTTCACTATCCCGTAGGCTGGATCCTTTCACACACATAGGATTCCACCCACACCAGCCTGCCAGGTCCCAAGAGTCACGCTAAATGGGATGAGGTCTGCTCATCACCAGAGACAGGCTTCACAACCAGGTACTTGAGAGCCAGTTGCAGCTGCTGGATGACCTTGGGCAAGCCATAGTTCTGTCAGAGCTGTTCTTGAAAAAGAGCCATTTCTGTCAGTTCTCACAGCCCCACTTACCTCACAGGATGTCTGTTGTGGGGGAGGGAGGAGTGTGTAAAGCCGCTCTGAGACTCCAAGTGAAGGGCAGGGTATAAATCCAATCTCCTCTTCTTCTACTTTGTCCTCTCCCAGAAGTAGTCAAACCACTCTGCCACGCTACCAGGCAGAGTGACCACCTTCAAACTGTCTGATCTTTTGCTGATCTATCACTGCCCCCTCCCTGAAGCAGAGCTCAGCTGTGATTGTTTCTGTGCTTCCCCCTCCAACGTTCCATCCCCCCCCCCCTTCCAGTGAAAGGTGACTGGATGCTGGAGCAGCACTCCCACAGGCTCAAGGATAAAGCAGCTGAGTGGATGTCTTTCCTTTGAGGGGCAGGACAGCCTCCTGTTTATCACATTTACCTACCCATGGGCAATCATACATTCCCCACAGTACTTCGGAAAACTTCATGATCACTGTCTTCTCCTTCCTAAACTGCAGACCCCCAGCAGAAAAGAAATGGGTAATGAGGGAGGTTTCCCTCTCTTATTTGGTTTCATTATGTGATCAAGTCCATCAGAGGGTTACCAATTGAACCGTACAGTCCTAAGCAGTTAGCACATTGACTGCAGTGCACTTAGGAAAGGGGCAACTCTGCTTAGGAATGACGCTGTAAGTGTTCTCAGCCTGGATCAACAGTTCTTTTTATTACTGACACTTCAGCACTACACCCAATAGTTCTACAGTTACCAGCTTGTGTAAACAATGGGTTGCAGTTTTTATATAGCAGGTAAAGTAACGTCATTTAAAAGAATCTTACAACTGGCATTTATTAAGCATTTTATACATATATTTAAGACACAGAGATTCAGTGAATTATTCTGATTTGAAGAGAACTGTATAAAATATTCTAAATGGCTTTTACATTTCGCCATTCACAGACATTAAACAGGAAGAAAGTAAGAATATATGGTAGGGTGACTTTTTTCACCCATTTAAGCACATACTCCAACAGATGTTCAAAGAGTATGTTAATGACTGCGCAAAACAAAACAAAAAATACCAGTGCGGTTAAAACCAAGAAGAGTTAGAGCAGTGTCTTTAAAAAGTATCTTAAATTTGTCCTTCAAAGGGTCTTTTCTTATAGTACCACATCAAAATTGCAAAACAGACCCCAGTGGTCACTAGGAAATTTGCCACAATCCAGTTTCTCCAGCCCAATTAAATCCAAACTCCGGGGAATGATTTGCCCACCAGTAGAAGCAGCTTGAAGGAACAGGCGATCGAACCGTAACTTGCACTGGTAACAGGCATCCAAGTTAGTGTTTTGGCTCGTGTCCCATGTGTAGTGGCAATGTTCTGGCTTGCCCAAGAATTCCCAGACATCCAGAATGTTGCTCGGCAGGCCACCTAGTTTAGCAACCTGATGGAGAGAGAAGCGGAAAGAAGCATTAATAATGGTTTTTAAAACACACTGTCGATAGTAATGATTAACACTAACAAATCAGTCCCAGGGCACGGTCTGAAGTCACATCATGTAGCAACCTCAATGAAGCAAAGCAGGTCTGAGTCTGGTCAGTGCCTCATTGGTAGACTACCAAAGACTTCTTTGTACACGACCCTGAACAACACAATGGAAGAAAGGGTGGCTGTAAAAGTTAAACGTTAAAGAATGTAACACACACTGCCTATTGATTTTGTCGCTTCTCTTACGGCTAGACCACAAGGTGGTACTCAGGTGGTTCCCATGAGGCATCTTCTCCAGGCACCAACCAGATCTGCTTAACTGCAGTACGCTGGCTGTGTCCCATGCCCTCCAACCAGTGTTCCCTCTAAGCTGGGTTAGTGTGACCTAACTCACAGTTTTTTAGCCTCTGGCTCACACATTTTTTTTCTTAGCTCAGGAAGGACGGCTCCAGAACAAACTAATTTTTACAGCAGCCAAATCGCTCACTCACAACTGTAATGCCAGTAGCTCAGAAAGCAGAATATTTGCTCGCAAGACTTCACAGCTTAGAGGGAGCATTGCCTCAAACCATACACTGATTATAAAATTCCTGCCACTCATCAACCACCTTGAATGTAAAAACTGTGAGATAAAAAGTTAGGCCCTTTCTTGCAAGAACACTGTTTATGCTATAGGTGTCAGTGGCATCATCTTGACTTTAAGGAGCCACAGCGGCAAGCTGCACGGCCAAAGATAGTTTTCTTTTCCTCCAAATGCTGCTCTCACCTCCCTCCTCTGATTTCCAACCACCCCATGCAAAAATAATCCTCTACGTTCAATCAATCAATCAATCAACCAGTTTATTACGGTCAAAGACCCATCAGACAGCATACAGAATCAAAAACAGTCTCCAGATTATCATAAGACATTACAGAGAGGGGGGAAAAAACAAACAACCAAACAAACATCTCAAGGAGTATTAAGGAGATGCTTACGCTTTGTAATTGCAATAAAAAGAAATTTAGCAACATTCCTTGAAATAGCCGTGGATTTGTCCTCCAGTAAGTATTTCAGCAAAAGTTCCTCGGACTGGATTACTAATTGTCCTTGAAATCTAAATGACCTTAATAAAGGCGTAATTAAAAGGGCTCTTTCTTCTGCATAGTGAGAGCAATGAAATAATATATGGGGGAGGGTCTCTATTGACTCGGAAGGGCATGAGCAAAATCTCAGATGTCTGGGGATACGTTGAAATCTTCTGGAAAGAACTGCAGATGGAAAAGTGTCAAATCTGGCTCTGGAAAAGGCCCATCTATGATTTGGGTTGGAAATATTAGCTAGGTATAAAAAAGCAGACATTAAAGTTTTGGATTTCAGAGATTTGTAAAAAGGCGGAAGCTGTTTGTAACTCAATATCTCTGAGACGCTGGTAAACAGTGGTTTTTGCCCTAGCATAGCCGCTTTCCAAAAGTTGGTACGGATCTAATCCTAATGTTCTCAGTTTGTTAATGGCTCTAGTGGACCACTGAGGGTAGGGAGATGCAGCCAGTAGTAAAGGAAATAACCCAGTGGGAAAAAGGTGGACTTTCAACCAAAAACAGAGAGAATGCATCCAAATATCCAGCTCGACTGTATTGAGACCTCTACGTTCTTAAAGTGGCTGCCAGCTCCACAGTTTAAATGCATCTGGAATACATTAATTTTGGGTCAGAGGCTCTTCTGCTATTCAGAGAATTTTCCGCTATTCTGCCATGCAAGGTGAAAACAGGACTGGAAAATGTGTGCCACAAGGCATTGCTTTGCCCAGTTTACCCACCTGAAGACTCTAGTAAGGTACAGGGAGAAAGAGATAAAAATACCACCATGGTATCTTGTACTGCTCACGCTCAGGGCTCAATAAGCTCTTTCCTGTTCACCTAGCCAGGAATGTCTGCAGTGCTACTGGCTAGTTATGCCTCCTGCGCACATAGGTTATGTAAGCAGGCGGAAACCAGAGTGGTGTGAAGGTAAGAGTGTGAGGTTATTTGGGCAGACCCAGGTGCCAATCCTCACTCATAGTGAATAACTCATTGGGCCAGTCATTCTTTCTACCTCACAGGATTGCTATGAGAACAAAATGGACAAGAGGCTACCTTGAGAACAAAATGGATGAGATGCTACCCTGAGAGCCAGTTTGGTATAGTAGTTAAGAGTGGTGGACTCTAATCTAGAGAGCCAGGTTTGATTCCCCACTCCTCCACATGCAGCCAGCTGGGTTACCTTGGATGAGTCAAAGTTCTCTCAGAGCTGTTCTCTCAAGAGCATTTCTCTCAGAGAACTTGGATATAAATCCAACTCTTCTTCTTCTTGACAGAAGGGCAGGATAAAAATATGCTAAATAAATACTATTTAGCCCTAGAACTCATACTACTAGAGAGAGGAGGCATGGATTTCCTCAACTGTTTACCTCCCTCTCCATGATTATTTTATGGGCTTTCAACTTTATTCAATCAATTCAGCGGAGAGGAATCTACTAGGTACAACTCATCACTTGTAGGAATAAATACAAAATAATGATTTATATAAAAAAGTAATTTGCAGCAGTTAACCTCTTTGTCTCTCAGATTCGTATCTCCTCCAAATATCACACTAGTGGATGCTGGTGTCTCACTCATTTTCTTCAGCACCAGCCTCAACTGTTTTAAACGCTCTTCAGTATGAGTCTTGGTGCTCTCCAGATGGGAAGTCATAAAGCAAATCTCATTGCCGGAAATGTTTGCCTGTTAGAGGAACAAAACGCACAGCATAAAGATACAATACTTGCACAAAGCTGTGCCACACCACTCTCGTCTCTCTCTCTGATCTAACTGAGTTATCTCTTCTTCATCAAGCTCTGCCCCGCACCTTCTTAACTTTTGTGCTATCCAAGTTCCTTAGACTGCAACCCCTTGGGCCCACACCATGTCAGTTCTGGATCCTTCTGCACCATGCTTCGCCCATCACGATTAATATTAAAATAAACAAGAGACCAGTCTTCCAAACTGGAATTGGTTTAACAGTAGATTAGTCAACTAACAGATCAGCTAATGAATTCAGGATCCAATTTTTAAATCTGTGGCACCATGACATAAGAGGTGCAGTACTTTTTAAAAAGGCTATTTTGGTTTGTGAGTACTACTAAAATAAGGACAGAAACCAAAGCTTGAAGGCAGGAAATTTTGTGTTTGCCTAGCAATTCTCACAATGGCCACTGAGGTCTCCTTTCTTAAAGCTACTGTTTCTATTACTGGGGGGGGGTTTATCATGTAGTGTATTTTTTTCAGATTTTTCTGCAAACATGGGGCTTTTTCAGGTTTGTAAAAAGATCTGTCTTGTCTGTCTTGTCACAGCCCCAATCTCTAATTTTAATTATCTACAGATTTTGCCATATTGATAATTAGATATACTGATGATTTTAAGTTCTCACTTTCTTCAACATCCCCCCAAATCTTACAGTAGAGTTCTAACAGCATGCAAATCTATCAATTAAGAGCAGAAACAGCAATTAAGACCATAAGAGAAGCCAATGTTGGATCAGGTCAATGGCCCATCCAATCCAAAAATACCAGGTGACATCAGGAGGGCCAGCAGTGGGGCCAGGACACCAGAAGCCCCCCCATTGTTTAACACACTGGCAGATTTAATTAAAGGTAATAATAATTATCCCCACCAATGCCCCCAATAGGTCATTTTTCCCTTTCATAATAATATGCAAAGAAATACACACCATTTCAAATTAATTTATACCTTTAGTTTTTGAGATGCAAATTAATTTTTATGTGAATTAGACATACAACATCCAACAGCTCACTCACATGTACTGCTAATAAATTTCTCATCATAGAGGTTGTTGGAAAAGGTATTATTTCATCTTTTAAAACTCTTACTCTTGATTTTTTTAACATTATGGCAGTAAAATAACCTTCAGTGTTACCTAGAGAGACACATATACATGGGGAAAGGAACGGTCAGCAACAATTCTAATAAGAAATCACACATAATAGAAGGCAGCCTTATTTATTTCATTTTAAGTATTTTAAAACATTTACGCACTTTTATTTTCTATCCACTCAAGACAATTAGTGCCTAAGAAAATGACACAACCACTATGGTTCTCTCAAAACTCATCCTTTGGAGAGAGAAGGTGCTGCTGACTCAGGTAACAAAAAATAAAATAAAATGTTACAAATATATATATATATAGTAAGGCCAACGAAGTGCAGAGCTATTCAATGGGAAACTCCTGATTTCCAAAGTCTTTGAATGATATTCAGGACAGGAGTTCAGAGGTAAGGCTGAGAGAGACTGCGCAAGGTCCCCAATAAGTTTCCTCAGGTCTCCTCGGTCTTACTCCGACACCACACAGCCATACAAAAAGGTAGTGTTTTAATGATCACAACTGCATCAGCACAGACACGAGGCCCCCCACTGTGAACTTCCAACAATTAGCATATCTCATTTTACCTGGAATAATTGTATAACTAACAGCTCTCTTCTGTAGATAGTTGAGATATGGAGGAATAACTTCCTGTAAAAATACCACATCTGGGCTGTACCTGAATGAGAAGAAGTAAAATACTGTAACATTAAGCAGTGGCTATGACTGCTTACAGTGAGGTAGTCCCAATGATTGGGACCCACTGAACCAATAGTGCAGCGTTACGGCCTTCTAAGTCGAGTGAAGTCAATGGGCTTCAAAGGCCGTAACATCACTTAGGATTGTACCAGATGTTTTAACAAAATGATAGACTTCTCCTGTTTTAAAATAATCAGTGGGCTACTCATGTTCCCATAAATTAGGAGTCACTGCAGTTCTCTTCTCCATTTGATCTCTGCAAAACAAAAATCCTTGTTTCAATCATTCCAAACTAAGATGTATCAGACTTCTCTGACCAGCAGTCTCCCTTTATATTTCATTTAAACATTTTTAACCTGCCCTTCCACCAAATTAAATTTTCAGGACACGTTAATAATGCATAAATCTCAAAGCAATGAGAAAACTGCAAGTAACAAAATATTCAACAATGTAAGCAGTAGCAGCCAGCATCACAATAAAGAAACAAGAATCAATCTTTTTTAAGTTTCATATTTAAAAAAAAATTAAATCAGCACTTTCAGAAAAGCAGCAGAAACAGTTGAGAGAGGTAATATAGCTCAATGCATGACTGGCAAGGAGTTAAGGTGTATGTTATAGCCCTAAACAGCATTGCAAAGCTATTCAGTTTGAACAGAAGAATTAAGGCACACAATAGGGAACATACCACACATATTTTATCAATAATGCAAGGTGACCCTACCCCCTTATTATTCATGTGATTGTTCCAGTTTTGTTGCATTCCAAGAATATCACAGCGACTTACTGACAGTGTATTGTTGGTAAACTGCTATGATATTCTCTAAGAAGGAAAAGGAGGAAGATCCTGCGGGCTTGTTGCAACAGACTAGCAGCAGCAGCTAAGGTTCATCTAGGCTGACTTTCCCTCTCCTATATCTACAACTATTTAACTTGAGCAAGGCCAGAGGAGTGAGCCCACAGGCTTTTGACCCTTAGCTTGGGGTTTGCAGCCTCGGACCCGTGAAGCTCAGCAGGCCAGACATAGACCACTTTTGTGTGTGTGAGAATTTTTGTTTAAGCTGCTTTGGGTCTCTCCAAGAAGAAAGCCAATCTAAAATGGTTCAGACCAAATAAACCAATATTGTTACTATTGGTTCAAACAAAATTTAACTACCAACAAAAGTGTGGCAGAGGAACAGGGATAATAACATCTAGTTTAATTACATCTTATGTTAATTAAATATCAACAGATTCAAATCTTTTCCGGGTTAAAATTTCTTTATCTACAGGTGCGGCACAATTATTATCAACAAATCCTCATGCTTGGTCTTTAAGAAAAGCACATGGAAGATAGGCGGATTTTCCAGGCGCGATCACAGTGCCACATCTGGGAAGTGTAGCGCTCCCGTGGCGAACCCAAGGCTTCCCGCCGAAGATGCGGGGTAAAAAACTAGTACCTCCGAGGTACTAGTTTCCGGAAACCGCAGGGCAAGGGCGGGCGCCTGATCGCGTTTCCGGTGGTAGGTCGTGGCATCCAGCACCCCCCCATGTCCCGTCGCTAAAAGGTTTTTTCCCCCAAGTCTCCACGGGATGTGCACAAGCACCCAACGGCGCATGCGCACACTTCGTTTAAAAACAAACACCACAGCCCCCTCCTCTTTTCCGTACCCCCCCCCCTGGCTCAGCCGGCTCGAGAGGAACTCTCTGCACCGGGTGGCAGAGGGGGAAGTGCAGGGGGGGGGGTGGCGGGAGGACGTCCTGGCTAAAGCTCCTCCTGGAGGGGACCCGACGGAGGACACAGTTTGCATTCCTCTGCAGCCCTGGAAGGGGTTAAACCCGCGGAGCCTTTTGCTAGAGAGGCTGCTTCTTTGCCGAGCCAATCGGCACCTCCCCCCTAACCACAGGACCTCTACGGGACATCTGATTGCGCAGCCCCGCGTTATTTTGCTCCAGGGCAAACAGCCACGCTTCCCCCCCCCCCTGCGCATTTTCCTGTCTGTGTGACCGGGGCCGAAGTATGTTTATTGTTAAGCATCCCAGTGATTTTTAACAGAAACAGCCTAGTTAAGTCTTCATAGAATTGGTGGTGAAGGTACTTACAAAGCTATATAGGAGCAGACTCCTCGTGCCCTTTCTTGCAGATTGCTCGAATCCAGGCCATCGATGTTCCAAGTAATTAAAGAAAGTGTGCTAGCATCCTCTTGCAGGCCAAGTCCAGCCTCTTTCACAGGGGCTACTGCACTACTGCCACTCGGGCTATCTGTCAGGTCAACACTAGAAAACATACACAAGAAAATACTTTGATAGAGAAAAGTTGCTAAACAAAGTAGCACATGTTCATCTTATACAGAAAAAATATTTTGGAGGAGCCCAGGCCAATACAAATCACTGTATCAGTGTTCGCTAAACTGACACCGGGTGGGGGTGGGGGGTGAAAGTCAAAGTAATAGGTCACTGCAGCTGACCCGCTCCATGGAGACTTTGGCTCACTTATTTCTCTGGTTAACTCCAGATAAGAAATAGAAAGTGCAAGCAATATGAGAACTCTGTGCATTAGCTTACGAACAAAAGTCACTGTAGATTCAAGATAAAGGAAAGCAGACAGCACTGATCACAGCCTACCAAACAGAACAAACCAAAAAGAGAGGATTATGTGTATGGAGCATTGCCTATGAAAATAATGGTTAAGATGATGGGCTAGTTTCTATGACTCCCTTCTGTCAAAATCTGTGAAAAGGCACATGGGAAGCCCAAGAGAGTTTGGGCAAAGGAAGGGGCAAAGAATGGTATTTGGAAAGCAAAGTGTGGCATGCTACCCTGAGGCTTTTACCATGCATGCCCCCCCCCCATACTGCACCTACAGCAAAAAGAAAAAAGAAAAGAAAGGAACCAACGTAATATCGCTTCATCCCAATCAACAAACCCTTGCATTTCTGCATACCTACATTGGTATCAAGGTAATGCATTTGCGTATACATCAACATCAGGACTAATTTTTTTTCACCATGTTCTTTTCCAGAGCTATAGACTAGAGACGCCACACAAACTACTTACAAGGTCTCCGTTACTGGAGGCACCTGGGGTATCCTGTCCACATATTGCTCATCGAGGGGTGGTTCAAAATAAGAATTCAGCGCCCTCTGAAAAGCAAAGGCAAACAGGTGGGCTCGTGTTGAGGCGCCAGAATCCTGAAATCATCTTCCACAATTTATCACGTCAGAGCATACTTGCATATCCCAGTCGTTCTCTGCCAGGTAGCACTGAGCCACAGCCACATCACTGCTGGTGACAGAGGCAAAGTCCGTGCAGAGGCGCTGCCGCTGCTTTTCCAGCTCCTCCTCCCGCTTTTGTTCTTCCTCCTCCTGAGGTGACCATTGCGGCTCCTGCAGGGGCTCCTGCTCTACCCCTGAAGCAACGCCGCTCACTTCCATTTCTCTAGCAGCTCGCACGGACTATCCCAGAGGCAACGCCCTTGCCAGAAGGCACCCGCGCTGAGCGCCAGGACGACGACGACGACACGGTGCAGCTGGGTCACCACTACTGCTAAGGCGCTAGGGCAACGCGATAGGAGCATGCGACGTTCTCACGGACGTGGCTTTCGGTATCGCGCCATACTCCGCGCCAGCAAGTGATGTCATCACCGGCAGCCGCCACGTGCGCCCGCTTGGTCTCCCAGTCACTCTATGCGCGTGCGCAGTAGTATTGCGGTGACCTCGCTGGTTAGGTCGAGGCTGTCCGGGCGCCGCGTCCGTCTTCCCCTCCGGCGGTGCCTCGCTGTGCAGGCAGCTGCTGCTGGCCTTTGGCGCGGCTAAGCGAAAAGGGGCTGTTCGTGGCCGGTGCTCGGCGATTGCCGCGGGCTCTCCTCCCTGTTCAGCCGCGGGCGTTGAGGAAAGCCCCAGTCATGAGCCACCTAACGGTGCAGTCCCTCCGCCAGGTGATGAAATCCCTCCTGGACTCGCCGGGCTTTGACCGGGTGGTCAGCAAGGTAATAAAGATGGGAACGCGCTCTTGGCATACCTAGGTGACCTTGACTGGGCCTGCAAAGGTCTGCGGAGGAACGGCCTCGAAAGCCCTTCTGGTTGCTTGGACGGTGCTGCGCAGAACGCTCTCGTGGAAGGCTTCGGGATTCCGCCAGGATACACGAACTGTGCCTTGCAGGGATGGCCGCTTCTCCACGCGACCTTCGCAGGTGTCTGGGTGCTTAAGGCTCTGCCCAGGTGGCCGCATAAGTCTGCAGCCCAGTTGGCAGCCAGGGAGCAGCTGCTCCATTCAGTGTCATCATCAAGGTCGGTCCTCCTCCGCCAGGTGATCCCGTGCCTTTTAAATGGTGGCACCTACTTTGTGAATTGGCCTGATGGAGGAGACCCACAGGCACCTTTCCTCCCTAAATTCCAGAAACTGCACCTCTCTTTTGGAGGCCTTTTGTCTTGGGGGGGGGGGGATCTGAAGATTGTGGATTGCTCAATTTTATTTATTCTCTTTATACTTTTTGCAACCAGAGTCATAAACAGCAGATCCTCATCCCACAATTGTGGAATTTATTAGCAAGTGGAATTTATTTGGGCAATGATGGCCTGCTGATTGTTGCTGAATTTTAATCTTTTAGTGCATTTAAAATATTCCTGCCCTGCCTTATCTGGCTGAACAGTGCAACTAAGCTGCAAGAACATAAATTATTTTTTTCCCAATTTATTGATCGCTCAATCTTTGCAGAGCTGCCACTCTGAGCGATTTACAGTTACTCATGTGTTGACATGGGACTAACAATGATGGGGGTAAGGGAGGACAACATATATCATTTTTAATCACACACACTTCGCAGTCGACAGGGAGTTTGATCAGCTGTAAGCATCAGATGTGTTCCGGCAGCATTTGGTGTCACTTGATGACATCAGCATTTTTCTCAGTTGCAGCGCACCACTGCCACTGTCTGGCCGGAATGGCCCATTGGAGGTTTTTCTTTGATGCTGCGTAGATCTCTCTCAGCTTTTCATCTTGCCCGTGGACCTTCCGTTGGTCGGCTAACACTTCCCACCAGGGGGGTTAAGTGTGTCCACCCTCTCTAAGGAGTGGTACCCATTTTATCTACTCGCCGAAGCTTTCGAACCGCTGGGTGGACGACGAGCTGGGGACATGGCTGGTAGCTCACACCAGTGCGGGGCTCGAACTGACAGCAGTCCTGTTCAGCTCAGATGTTTAACCAGAGGATAAATCCCCTGTGCCACCGATCATCCAATAAGAAAATTAAAACATTAAAATGCACAACTAATACATTTAGAAGCACTCAAGTCTTAAAACATGCAATTAACAAACTCACAGTTCAGTCAATTAAATAAGTCATCCTCCACCAAATGCTCTGATTTTTTGAGGAAAATCAGTGGGACACGGTGATTCCCGGTTATATATTTTATATCGGAAGGATAGTGGGGGAAGGGTTGGAGGTGGGGTGGCTCTGTATGTCAGAGAGGGTATAAAGTCTAGAAAGATTGAGAGGCTAAGTGAAGTGGATTCGCTTCTGGAAGTTCTATGGGTTGAAATAGGGGGGCCAAAAGGAAACTTAACACTGGGAGTTTGTTATCGCCCACCAGATCAAAAGATAGAGGAGGATTATAAAATGATGAATGCCTTAAAGATAGCAACTAGACAAAAACACTGTGTAATAATAGGTGATTTTAACTACCCACACATTGATTGGGTCAATATGTGTTCTAGCCGGGAAAAAGAGATTGAGTTTCTAGACACTCTAAATGACTGTGCTATGGAGCAGATGGTCACAGAACCTACCAGGGGAGAGGCGATCCTTGATTTGGTCCTAAGTAACACTCAAGACCTGGTGAGAGATGTAAAAGTGATTGCACCGCTTGGAAACAGTGATCATAATGTTGTTGAGTTCATCATTTGTACAAATAGAGAATTGGCCAAAAAGACTCACACAACCATTTTTAACTTTAAAAGGGGTAATTTCTCTGATATGAGGGGACACGTGGGGAGGAAACTGAAAGGAAAAGTAGAAAGGGTCAAAACAATTGGGGAAGCTTGGGATCTATTTAAAACTACGATCCTAGAAGCTCAAAAAATATATATTCCGCAGGTTAGGAAAGGCACAAACAGGTATAGGAAAAAGCCTGCATGGTTAACAAACAGAGTAATGGAGGCTGTAAAAAGTAAAAAGAATTCCTTTAAGCAGTGGAAAGCTAGTCACAGTGAGGCTGATAAAACGGAACACAGGCTATGGCAAATAAAATGCAAGTCTGAGGTCAGGCAGGCAAAAAGGGAATATGAGGAGCATATAGCAAAAAACGTAAAAACCAACAATAAAACTTTCTTCAAATACATTAGAAACAGGAAACCAGCCAGGGAGGCAGTGGGGCCCTTGGACGACCAAGGGGTAAAAGGAGTATTGAAGGATGATAGGGAAATGGCTGAGAAGCTAAATGCATTTTTTGCCTCCGTCTTCACTGTGGAAGATGAGAAGTGCTTGCCCACTCCAGAACCACTGATTTCAGGAGGGGTGTTGGAAGACCTGAGTCAGATTGAGGTGATGAGAGAGGAGGTCCTAAAACTGATAGACAACTTAAAAACTGAAAAATCACCAGGCCCAGATGGCATACATCCGAGAGTTCTGAAAGAACTCAAATGTGAACTTGTAGATCTCCTGACAAAGATATGTAATCTTTCCTTAAAATCTGCCTCCATTCCTGAGGATTGGAAGGTAGCTAATGTCACTCCCATCTTTAAAAAGGGTTCCAGAGGAGATCCGGGAAATTACAGGCCAGTCAGTCTGACGTCGATACCGGGTAAATTGGTGGAAACCATTATTAAGGAAAGAATTAGTAGGCACATAGATGAACAAAACCTATTGAGGCAGACTCAGCACGGTTTCTGTAAGGGAAGATCTTGTCTCACTAACCTGTTAGTGTTCTTTGAGGGGGTGAACAAACATGTGGACAAGGGGGATCCAATAGATATTATTTACCTTGACTTCCAGAAAGCTTTTGATAAAGTTCCTCATCAAAGGCTCCTAAGTAAGCTCAAAAATCATGGGATAGAAGGACAAGTCCTTTTATGGATCAAAAACTGGCTAGTTCATAGAAAACAGAGAGTGAGTGTAGGTGGGCAATTTTCTCAGTGGAGGGTGGTAAGCAGTGGGGTACCGCAGGGATCAGTACTTGGTCCACTGCTTTTTAACTTGTTCATTAATGATTTGGAGATGGGAGTAAGCAGTGAAGTGGCTAAATTTGCGGATGATACAAAGTTGTTCAGGGTGGTGAAAACCAGTGAGGATTGTGAGGCACTCCAAGGGGATCTGTCAAGGATGGGCGAGTGGGCGTCAACATGGCAAATGGGGTTCAATGTGGCCAAGTGCAAGGTGATGCACATTGGAGCCAAAAATCCTAAATATAAATACACATTGATGGGGTCTGAACTGGCAGAGACTGATCAAGAGAGAGATCTTGGAGTTGTAGTGGATAACTCACTGAAAATGTCGAGACAGTGTGTGACTGCAATAAAGAAGGCCAATGCTATGCTGGGGATTATTAGGAAGGGTATTGAAAACAGATCAGCCAATATCATAATGCCCCTATATAAATCAATGGTGAGACCTCATTTGGAATACTGTGTGCAGTTCTGGGCACCACACCTTAAAAAGGATATTATAGCTTTGGAAAAAGTGCAGAAAAGGGCAACTCGAATGATAAAAGGGTTGGAACACTTTCCCTATGAGGAAAGGTTAAAGCACTTAGGGCTCTTTAGCTTGGAGAAAAGACGACTAAGGGGTGACATGATCGAGGTTTATAAGATTATGCATGGGAAAGAGCAGGTAAAGAAAGAGGTACTTTTCTCCCTTTCTCACAATACAAGAACTCGTGGGCACTCCATGAAACTGCAGAGCGGTCGGGTTAGAACGGATAAAAGGAAGTACTTCTTCACCCAAAGAGTGATTAACACATGGAATTCACTGCCACAGGAAGTGGTGGCGGCTACAATCATGGACGGCTTCAAAAGGGAATTAGATAAGCATATGGAACAGAGGTCCATCAGTGGATATTAGCCACAAGGTATAGATAGGGGCTCTGGGGCAAGTGATGCTCTGTCTTCTTGGTGCTTGGGGGGGTCAACAGTGGGAGGGCTTCTAATGTCCTGGCCCCACTGCTGGACCTCCTGATGGCACTGGTATTTCTGGCCACTGTGTGACACAGAGTGTTCTGATGGCACCTGGTATTTTTGGCCACTGTGTGACACAGAGTGTTGGACTGGATGGGCCTTTGGCCTGATCCAACACTGGCGTCTCTTATGTTCTTATGTTCTCTCAGGGACAAGACTGCCTTCCTAAACGAAGCATGGGAAACCACTCTCCAAATAACACCCTGCCATGAAAAAGCCCATGATCCTGCTGTGTCCTAAGGGAGGGCACCTTAAGGAGAAGGCTGCCTGCAGAATGTAACTGGTGCAGGGGACTATACTGGGAGATGCAGTGTATGAGGATCTTAGGCCATGAAGGATTGTTGTGTTATACTTTACTGTGAATTGTTTTGTACGTAGCAGGGAAGCGGTGTATCATTTTTAGTGAATTGTTTTGTACGTAGCAGGGAAGCAAATAGATACAAATAGATACAAATAAACACATTGGCAAGGAAGTACATCCTGCTGATTCCCCCCCAAGTGTTAGAATCACTGCTGCTCAATGAAAATTTGCTCGGTTGTTGTGATGGGTTGTGTGTAAGCATCAAAACCATCAGTGCTATACTGAAGGTGTTCTATTCAATGCTCCCTCCAAGCTATGGAGTCCTGTGAGCAAAAATTCTACGTTGTGAGCTACTGGCATTAAAGTTGTGAGCAGGTGATTTGGTTACTGCAAAACTTAGTTTTCTCTGGAGCCATCCTTTCTAAGGTAAGACAAAAATGTGTGAGCCGGAGGCTAAAAAACTGTGAGCTAGCTCACACTAACTCAGCTTAGAGGGAACACTGCTTCTATTATATTAATGCATTATTACTGTACTACCCTTCTTCTAAGGAGCTCAGGGCAGTATACATACTCTACCCCTCCTCTGCTTCCCAGTTTTATAATGCCAGCAGTCCTGTTAGGGTATGTTGCAAAAGACCAATTGGTCCAAGATAACCTAGTGGGCATTGTGACTGAATAGGGATTTGAACTGCTGCGATGTAGTTGGTTAGGAGCATAGTGATCCAGGTTCTGGTTTCCACTCTGTCAGGAAGCTCCCTGGGTGTCCTTGGGCCAATCATTACCACTCAACCTAACAGAGTTATCCTGAGCTCCTTGGATGAAGGGTGGGATTAAAATAGAAAAGTAAATAAGTCCAATAGTATACTGCTATATTTGAATATTATTTTGAGCATTCAGAGTACATTATCTTAGAAAATATGAGGTGCAGGGACAAAGGACCCTCACTACCACTTCCAAATCTCTCTAAATACCCTTTTCTTTTGGATTTATTTTTCTAAAGAATTTGGGAAGAAATTAATTTTACTCCTTTCCTAGAGCCTTTATATTAATCACTTGTTCTTTCTCCCCATTCTGTGAAGGACTGCCAACTTTGTTGTTGTAGAAGTGCATCCTATTTACCAATTTACTGTAGCTTGCTATTTGCTTTTTACCAAAAAGGAATGCACATTTGTTTACATTTGAAATATGCATGGAGCTCTGCTCCCTTAACTAATGACGTATTTCCAGGGTATAGCTGTGAACTCACATCTGCTTACATCATACAAACAATAAACGCTAAGCCTTTTTTTATTTTCAAGTTTCACTACTGTTACGTTATATTTGTGACATTTTTTTTAAAAAAAATCTTTGCTTCCTTGGAGTCCTGTTGCCAGGCAGCAAAGAGGCAAATAAATATTTTAAATTTCAGCTAGATGATATACAGAAAACCGAGGCTTGACAGAAAAGGTGATTTCTGTTCTCTTCTGTCTTTGCTGCCAGATGACTGTTCTTTCTGCTAGCGCTGGGAAAGTTATATGTGAAATGAAAGTTGAAGAAGAGCACACCAACCGCGGAGGAACTTTGCATGGAGGGTTGACAGCAACTCTGGTAGATGTTGTATCAACTGCTGCTTTGATGTACACTGAAAGACAAGCACCTGGAGTCAGTGTGGATATGAACATCAGGTATGTACCTAAGAGGCAAGATTGATTTCAGTGCTGGCTTTCATTTAACATAGCTTTGATTTTACAGTTTCACTTCTGGAGTATGCCACATATACAAAAGAAATCTTTATTTTTATGGTTCTGAGGTGCTGCTAGTAGCTACTGTGTTTTTTAAAAGATCATTCCTGGTATTTAAGGCCTCAAAGCTTTATACCTGTTGTCTGAGAACCTGTGACTGATTTGTTCGCATAGGATTGCACCATAAAGCCAGAGTTATTTCAGTTATAGAATAATAGGCATAGGATGGCACTGCTAATCATTTTTGGTTACATTTAAGCTTGAAGCATTTAATTGTTTTTTTTTAAATAGACAGAACTTACTTCTCTTACTGCTGCTTCATCTTAGCATCTTAGGAGCTGGGTCATTATTCTCCGTTTGCAGTTCAGAAGCCGAGGCCAAGAGTGATTTGTTTAAGACTGCCCTGTAGAATCCATGCCAGAATATTGTTTCCCAAACCCTCCACTCCACCTGGCATAAGTTTTCACGAGCCAGCACAAAGTGCAATGTTCAGTTGGGAGGGAGGTGTGTTTGCAGGAGCTTTGTTTGTATGACAGTAGAGGCCTTATTTAGCTGCATTAGACAAACTTAACGACCCCTCTAGAATCTGTTATTAGGGAAGGCACTTTCTATCAGTATTTATTGCAAGGAGATAAAGTTGGCATCTATGACTTGCTCAACAGTGTGGTAAGTTAGGCTGAGAATGGCTGATCCAACAGTTGCTCAGTGAGCTGAATGGGGATTTGAACTCTGGTCCAGTCCTCTGTCGTATGCACCACACTGGCTCTTCTTTGTAACTTTAACGTGCAACATCTTTTTTTTCTTCCCCCACTCCATTCAAGCTATATGTCAGCAGCTAAGATTGGAGATGAAATCCTGATCACTGCAGAGGTTCTAAAGCAAGGTAGAAGCTTGGCATTTGCCAATGTGGATTTAACAAGCAAGGCAACTGGAAAGTTGATAGCCCAAGGAAGGCATACAAAATTCCTGGGACACAATTAGAAGGAAGTGATCACTTTGAGAAAAAGGTATGGAGTTACATAACAAACGAAGTAGCCAAAAAAACGATGGGGTATGAAGTGATACTGTTTGGATCCTGTTTTATGTCTGGCCCCAATTCAGTTTCATGATTCCATTTTATTATTTTAAATGTGTTTTTATTGTAAACCAGCATGGGCTTTTGGATGGTGTAGATAGATGTAATAAAGCTGTTTTAATTTAAGAAATGTCTCTTATAGTTGATGTGAATTTGAATCTTGAAGCACTTCAGGACAGAAGAAGAGTTGACAGCGAAGGGATGAAAACATTCCTGTCCGGCCTGGAGACGATCCTCAGCTGTTGAAGTGGGTGAACTATTAATGGGATAGGCTTCTGCTGCTGGTGGCTTTGAACTATTCTTCTTGTAATTGCTCCTGGAGACATTGTGTGCATGTACTTCACAGAGATTTTCATACCCTAAAACGAGTGTTTAAAATGTACCAGAAGCTCTCTTCTCTAACTTCAAGCTTACTGAGTAGTATTGAACACTGCGGACTTAATAGGTATTACGATGTGTGACGACCCCTTATCTGGGGAGGCCGGGTTCCACTTTAAAAGTGTTCTTTTTATTTTGTTCTATTGGGGATATCCGGCTGCCACCAGGAAATTTAAGGCTTTCCAAACCTTTATACTTTTACTTTTGTTATCACTGGGTAGGTAGGTCGAGTGTAAGGCTTATAGGGAACTATGTGGTCCCGGGAAGTATTTCTTTCAGAGCTGATATGCTTAAATAAAAATAGATTTATTGAAATACTTCATAAATAAAAAGGTATAACAAAGTAACTGGTAATGTGAATATTCTGATAAATTGTTTGGTGTCCCACACAAGCCCTACTCCCTTCCTCTACAGGGATTTATCAGGTAACTTTGTAACCCTTTAACTCAAGATCATCTACGTTTCTTGTTTCTCTCCAGTCTGTCACTGAGACTTTCATATAATTTCTGTTCTCTTAAACTTTACTTTACTGTTTCATATACATTCAACTTTTTTCCATACACAGAACTAACTCCTATATCACACACAAGACTGCTTCTCCCACAGACTTCAGAACTAACTAAAACGTATCCACTGTCTTCATCAACTGTCAAACCTGTAACTGTCACTCTTGACAGACATATTCATCCACTCAGAGCCACTTCCAAAACCCCTCCCCCTCTCTGTCAATTACCAATCACACCACACTTGTCTCTTCAACCACTCTATTCTATCACACAGCCAGGCAACCAAACTTTTAAAGAGACACACACACATATAAAACAAGGAATCATTACACGAGGGTATTATCCTCTGCCTCAAAATTGTGAGGATAGTTTAGGAGTATCTCAGTAGATAGACTTCAGGTCCTGAGTAGGACACTCTTGGGTTGTCCATTCCTGTATACACTTAGGGCAAGGACATTAAAAGATGTCAGACCAAGCTTCCTGGCTCCAAAGCCTCATAGAGAGCTCCCACTGCCTACCTACAAGCTGCATTCCCCCTTGCTTTCTGAAGAGCTTCTTACATCATTGCGGCATAAGAACATAAGAGATGCCAATGTTGGATCAGGCCAAAGGCCCATCCAGTCCAACACTCTGTATCACACAGTGGCCAGAAATACCAGTGCCATCAGGAGGTCCACCAGTGGGGCCAGGACATTAGAAGCCCTCCCACTGTTGACCCCCCCCAAGCACCAAGATGACAGAGCATCACTTGCCCCAGAGTCCCTATCTATACCTTGTGGCTAATATCCACTGATGGACCTCTGCTCCATATGCTTATCTAATTCCCTTTTCAAGCCGTCCATGCTTGTAGCCGCCACCACTTCCTGTGGCAGTGAATTCAAAGTGTGAATCACTCTTTGGGTGAAGAAGTACTTCCTTTTATCCGTTTTAACCCAACCACTCAGCAATTTCATGGAGTGCCCACGAGTTCTTGTATTGTGAGAAAGGGAGAAAAGTACCTCTTTCTCTACCTGCTCTTTCCCATGCATAATCTTATAAACCTCAATCATGTCATTCCTCAGTCGTCGTTTCTCCAAGCTAAAGAGCCCTAAGCGCCTTAACCTTTCCTCATAGGGAAAGTGTTCCAACCCTTTTATCATTCGAGTTGCCCTTTTCTGCACTTTTTCCAAAGCTATAATATCCTTTTTAAGGTGTGGTGACCAGAATTGCACACAGTATTCCAAATGAGGTTGCACCATTGATTTATATAGGGGCATTATGATATTGGCTGATCTGTTTTCAATACCCTTCCTAATAATCCCCAGCATAGCATTGGCCTTCTTTATTGCAGTCACACACTGCCTCGAGATTTTCAGTGAGTTATCTACAACAACTCCAAGATCTCTCTCTTGATCAGTCTCTGCCAGTTCAGACCCCATCAACGTGTATTTATACACTCACTGGTGCTCCGATGTCACTTGCAGCCCGCAGATTTACATCCAGGGCTGTTGGAAGTCCTGCAGTAAGAGAGTGCATCACACGTTGAATCTGTTTTGCTGAAGGAAGTTCAGTGTGGAAAGAAAACAAGCTGATTTTGAATAAAATGGTTTTAATAAAAGCTGCATTTACTGTGCATAATTTACTTTTCAGGTATATTCTTATCCTTTTAATTAAAGTGAAAATAAGGGGATAGCCATCTGTTTATTCATTTCCCTTGTAAATTTGTTTACATTTTTTTTTAAGGCGTAGAATAAAAAGAAATTCTAAAATGTTTGTTAACTATGTTCCAGCTGATTCTGCCTGGTCTTAAATGGGTTGTATTTACATAAATGTGCATTTATGTACATTCTCCATATGCTTATCTTTAAAGACATGAATGGGCATATTCTGAAGTCTGAGATGATTTGCAATGTAGTACATTAGGTCTCTTTAAATACTTTTTCAGTTTGGGAATCCACTATATATATTACATGTGGGCATGCATATGAGGCAGCAATAAATGATTAAGAACCCCCCTGTGTAACACTGCAGCACTCCTTTGTCTAATGCTATAGAGCAGGGGTGTCAAACATGCAGCCAGTGGGCCAGATCAGGCCTTTGGAGGGCTCCTATTTAGCCCGCAAGGAACTGGTTGTCTCCTGCTTCTTTCTCCAGTTCTGCTGCTGCTGCTGCATCGCAGCTTGCTTTACCAGACTCTCTCAATCACACAGGAGAGACAGATAGAAGAGCTACCGTTCCCTGCACTGGCTGAGGCTCCTCCAGGGGAAGGGAGGGAACAAGCCAGAGTTTGCTTCCTGGCCAGGCTGCCTCAATTACACAGGAGACAAAGGCAAGCCTTTCTTTCCTTCCATTGGCTGAGGCTCCTCCCTTTCCTCCTACCTTGCTTTGCTCAGCTGCCTCAATCGCAGCTGCAGCTCTCCTGGCTGCAGCCATGGTGCCAGAAAAGAGGGAAAGGAAGTTTTTAAACATTTTAAAAAGAATTTTGTCAAAGAGGTTCTGAACTCCATCCTGGCATGTTCCCCCAGAAAAAAAGCCCCACGTGCCCTCATGATCCAGTCTTTCTCAGTAGGAAAGCCATGTGAACTATTCAGATGAGGAATAACAACAAACCAGTGAGGTGGATTAAACTGACAGTGTATGTCCAGACCAAGTTCATGCAGCACATTTCCTTGGTAGACTTGAGATTTTGAACCCAGACTTCCCAGATAGTAGTCTGATAGTGACCACTCTAAGCAGCATAAAAGTACAATGTACAGGATAGATGTCTGGTCCAGTTTAAAAAGAACTGAACAGGACTTGTCTAGAAAGAGGCAATGGTGCTGCTCAGAGTTAAGAGCTTGTGAGAATAGATGGCTGCTCTTAATTCTGTGCAAACAGTGAAATTTTTATGCTGTTTGTATACATTGTTGATACACAGCTGGATCAGAATGTTTCCTGCCAATATAAAGCCATTCCCCCCCCCCCATGGAAAGGGGCAAACTTTCATCATTTGCCCCCCTCTGCCTGCAGACTCCTGCACTGCCAGCCAGGGTTCCCCTATTCCCAAGGTGCAGTGTTTAAGGGAAGTCAATAAACTGCTAGGGAGACGCAGGAAGTTCTGTTCAGCTAGCAGAGCTGATAGTAGTATGGATGAAGGCCATAGTTTCCACGTTTTGCTGAATTTTTTAAAGCTTCAAGGTACCAAAAAATATCAATAGATGTCATGTTTAGGATCTCTGCTCAGATATATGCAAGAAATAGAAAGATTTGACAGTTTTTATTGTACCTTTGCATTTGAGGGGTGGTAGAATCATCTGCCACTTCACATGTTGACAAAGATGACTAAGATGCTTCAGAATGACAGCTCATCCATATGCAGCCAGTCTTTAGTTTGTTACTTACCATCTTGTGAATTAGGAGTGTCTAGCTAGCTGTACCATAATTGCAACAAAATACTGCTTCATACCCTGGTTCACTTTGGTGACATGGGTTGTAGTGGAAAGAATAACTTGTAATTATGAACGGGACCATTAAAGAGAACACACGTACTCAGAAAGGGCAGGATCTTCAATTGCTTTCAAGACGTACAATGCGATGTTAAATGAACCATAACAGTCAAACTCTGAGTAACTGGAATCAGGATTGACCACATCATAACTCCCCATTTCTTCAGCACAAGGTTTGAATGAAATAAACACAGCACTAACTTTATATAGGTTGTTCCACTACACTTATACTTCCCTCATACAGCCCAATTTACTCAAATTAGCAGTTGTAGGTGCTAATTAAACCAATTCTTGAATCTTCCTGCTAAGACTCTCTGGTGCAATACATCTAATGTGTTTTATGACAGGCATTGTATTTTGAATAGCTACTGTCACTATGCACGTCCACATAAATAAATGTAAACATGTTGTTACTTACATGACTGACAGTGTGCAGTTAAAAGAAACAGAATAAAATCATAGCTTTTATATTTCAATCAGTGGTTTATATTATGCATTTTCTCTCTTATTTTGACATTACTGCAAACCACTTTCTGTTTGAAGAATGAAATAAGCATTCTAAGCAAAATGATCTTTATAAATAAGCATTGCAGTCGCTGTTCACCTAATTTGTTTATTTCCAATTTTTCCCAATTTCAAATAAAAGCTAAATACAGATTTTTTTTAAACAGATAAGCACTAGTTTTACCCAAAGGGAATAGGCTTATACAGATTTACTTCAGTAAATTACTCAATCCTTAAGCAAAGCATTCTTTGCCAAAACTATGCAGTAGTCTTCCTTATGTTCATTGCACAATCTTTAACAAAATGTTGTCAAAACCAATTTTGACACTCCAAATAATATTTTACAATTAAATCCACAACTGCTTTCGAGTATTTTACTCCACCCCACCCCCACCCCAAGAACCTCAGAGGGTTTTCCGTAAGAAATGTTTTGGAAACCAGAATTTCCTACACAGTTCACCAGCAAGTTTACAAGTCAACTCTCAGGAAAAAAAATCCTCTGCCAACAGAGTTTCTGCAGCTGCTATTTTTAAATTTAGCTGCTTTAGGCTACTTCAGACTCCAGGTCTGTAAAAATGTATTCAACTCAACAGAACACTCTACATTTAGTTATAACAGCAAACTGGGGAAAGAGATCCAAAATGAGAATGCCAGTAAATGCAAACATGGCCAAGCAAAATAAAAGAGGCAGTTAATGCCTATACCAAATGAGATGCTTTTTTTCTTTGTAAGATTTCTCTCCCATGTTTAGCCTTCTACTGCAACAGCCATAGAACTATTATCAGAATGAATCTGACAGAGCTCTGAGACAATCATGTTAACAGCAAAGCTTATAAGGCCTTTGCACCATTATGTTCACTTCTCACCCTATGAATACTGATACTGGGGGACGTGGCCAGCACAAATGGGAACACCACCATAAATGATCACTTTGTGCTCTCAGATACATTCCTTTCAGTGTATAACAGTCCCTTCATTTCACATTTTGGTAGGATGCCCATGCAATGCAGAAATATGCAGAGCATTCTCTTTCACAAAGTCCATGCAGAAAACATCTAAAAAAAAATTTAAAGTTCTGAGATACAAATGATAAAAGAAAATAATCCAGGATGATCAAGTTCCACGATGGATAGTGTTCTGAACATGTGTCCATTTTCTTCTATTCCGAAATAACAAATGGCGAGAAAGGTGAAAACTGCATTCTGTGATCTTTCCCATTTTGCTGGCCAGTACCCTATTCTGGCATGTAAGGACGGAGGTGATCCTCTATGGTACCAACCGCCCAGTGGGTGAGCTGCTCCTGTGGCAGATACAGGCAGATGCTGCATAACTTGAAGATTGTAGCTTTGTTTTTTGGAGTCTGGAAAGAAATACATACATCTATTTCAGACCCAAGTTGCTTTATACAACACTGTCCACTCATCTTTTTAGAAGAAACATGCAACTAAAGGATGCTGCCAAAAATCACAGCAAAGATGTAACACTCCATAGTGTTGCCTGAATACAGAAATTTATCTTCTCAGCAAAGAGACTGTACCTACAGCCTTTTCTGAATGCATACATAAGTTCCAGGAGTGGCACCTCTGCAAACAACAAAGCTGGTGATACACACATGCAAATCCCTACTCTTCAATTCTATACCTATCAGGGATAAACCTGACCAAAATATTTCACTGCACTCTCAAAAACAGGGAAGGCAAAAGCAACCATGTTACTTAACACTATATTCTACAACATTGATTGTGCCTGTTACATAGTACGTATTGTGTCATAAAAAGAACCCGGATATCCCAGCCATTTCAGCGTTCTGCTATGGCAAATGGCTTTATTTGTACCTACTGCTATTTAAGTCTCACACAAACAATTCCTTTAATGGCATTTCATAAAAGTAAAACATAATATTGGAGACATAAAATTCAGTTTCTGAATAAAATAGGACTCCATAAAAATACCCTGCATTGGACACTTACTGTCAGCTTCAGCTGAACTGACTGCTGTGAAAGCAAGATAAAAGAAAATTAAGAGAACAATTATTCACTGGGATAAGCCTTCTTACCTGCAAGTGCTGTCTGTCAATGAAGAGAAACACTGACTGGTTAGGGTTGTTGATAACAATTCCAGTCTTGTCCTTTCGGCTCAGTACATGCAGAAACTGTTTTTCGTAGTCCCCATGATGAAATTCAAACCTGGCCTGTAGGAAGAATATTAGTTTTTAAAAAGGAGATATAAGTTTAAGCATCTTCCAGATTAACTATATTCACTTATAAAATAGATCAGCTCGAAATTATAGCTGTTGAAGAAATAAGAGTTTATGGGACATTATTGTGAACGCATCTCCCTTTCTCTCCAATTCTAACAGAATGGGATGGATCAAAAGAATCAAAGATAGAAGAAAAGTAGTCACAAATGTTCTGTGTGCTAGGGTCAAGTTTGTGAACCACTGTGATGGCAGAGTTTATGCTGCCATTTACACTTGGTCAGCAATCACAAATAATCTGCTCTTATGCAACATTCTATCATATGGAGTGAAATGGTCCTCCCACAAGCAGAATACACCTCCTGCATGCAGAAGGGCATCTCAGCATCCAAACCAGCAAGTCCATGCTTACTTTTTCTATTACGAAACCAATTCTAGCACACATTCAAAATGCTGCACTCCATACATACAAATTACTGATGCAAAGCAGCCTCAGACAACCACAGTTTGCCACATGGATTAAACCTTCTATATTGCAGAGCTGAATAAATTTTATCCTAACATCACCTTAACCTGAAATGTTTTTGCATGTCCATTCAGTGACAGCATCTTTATACTAGCATTTAAATAGAAAAGGGGGGGGGGGAGTCAGAATGGTTCAAGACTAACTTTATGACCAATATAAGAAAAGGTAGGATTTCATTATGTGTTAGTGTCTTATTCAGGATTGACTGTGGTAGATTGTCCTAAACATACATCATACCTGAACAGGCCTAAAGGGCTCATCATCAGATCCCTTCCACCTAGAAAAAAGAAGACAAACTATCTTCTCAATATCATTCCGAGGCCAAAGTATGAAGTCCATCTCCTGTGTACAGCCAATCACATCCTAAAAGGAAGGAAGAATTTCAGTTGCTGAAATAAAATCACTTTCCACAGTATGAAAACATATACTCACTGAATGCGGAGAAGCAGCAATAGCCGTATTTCAAACTGCACATATAGCGTTCATAAAAGCACAATAGCATATATTCTACACTTCCTCTCACAAACGCAGACTTGGCCAGACCTAAGGATACAACTCCTTATTAGTACTCCCTATTCTGCTCTTAATTTTAGAATAAAGTTCCATAACACAGCATACTTTTCTAACTTAGATTTCTACTACAGAAAACCGATCCCTACCCTATTTTTTTTACTTCATCATGGTAATACATTCTACATTTAAACATACACCCCACTAAAAAAAAAACCTCCCTCAAAATTTTATCCTCTTGGTGTTTTACATGCTCAGCTACAAAGACTATCAAGAAGTATGCTGTTTTATCACATTACATTCTCATGCTGTATTTTATAACAGTAAAAAAATTACTGTATGGACATTTGCCCTTATCAGAAATATTAAAATCAAATGTTTATGTTCATTAAGGTATTTTACCTAAGTAGCTAACCACACGTTATAAGCCAGGGCCCAACTTGTATCACTTTATTTTAGAAAACAGAATGAAAACAAATATTATTTTAAGAAGTCCTTTTCAACTTCTTTCAGTATTACAATACCCGCCCTTAATATTTTTTCAAGTTGATATACATCAGATGCCGGTGTCAGAAGATAAATTTAAAAAGATTAAGGACAATCATTTCCCCCTCTAGAGGCATGACCCAAAATACATTTTCAAAAATGGGTTATCTTTGCTATGCTACACTGCAAGCCCTTTATAACTCAGGTAAGTTCTCAGAGCAGTTTGCAATATACTGAAGGCCTTTTTTTTATGTAGAAGAACCCCAACTAGAACCAAGAATGAACACGGCCAAGAGAAAAACAAATGAATAGAACAACAAAAATTTATTTTACCCTGCGCATAGACTGATAGCGGGGTGCATGCAGCTGTACTACATCCTTTTGTAGAAGCTCTATGGAACTTTCCAAGGAATAGCTGGAATCCCGCACACCTTTCAGGATATTTTCTTCATAATTATTGGTCATGACTGGTATCACTTCAGACACTTCAAAGAGCGCTGACTTTTTCCTCTACCCAAAGAAAGCAAGTAAAGTAAGCACACTGTGTTTCATAAATTGCCAAACAATCTACAACTGCAACATTCAACATTTTGAACAATGTAAGGCGGAACATTACCCATTTCCCACACTAGAACTGGAGAACTTCCAGAACTGAATTAAGAAACAAATCAAGCCAAAGTTTCGTTCTTAAATCTTGTTGACTTCAATAGACAATGCTAAAACATGTGCCTAAGTATCACCCATTAAATCAACAAGGAAAAAAAAGTACTGCACTTTGGCTGGTATTTTTCTCTGAATCCCATTTGGAATATGCCTGGATACGTGCTCTACCACAGTACATTACATTAACTCTCACCCTCTCAAAGCAAAGTTTCTGTTATTGTTCAGAATTCATAAATATCAAAAAATAGAGTTTACAAAATGGTGTTATAAAGAGACTGCTACCAAACTAGGACTTGAGGTCAGTATTAAAAAGGTAAATAAAATCAATGCTTCAGCAGACTGAAGACTAATGAGAGCAAAGCCAAACTAATTTTTCTTATTTTTTTTGCTCCAGATCCCTAGAAAATGCTAATGAAGACAGCTAAATCACAACACAAAAATTGTATAGAATGAGAAATGAGGTTACCTTGTCTTTGAATACAAAGGCAATATACATCTTGAAATCAAACTGGTCAGCTAGAGATTCTTTTTTCTTTTTAAGCTGAGCACGAAGTCTGTTCAGAGCTTGTTTCTTCCGGGAGTTTGGGTCCCCCATTTTGTAATACAGATGGTAGGAAAGCCTTTGGAAACTGTCACTAAACTATGGGCCCTTTTTTCACAAGACTCAAGTACAACAGAAACAAGTCATTTTATTCCTGCTAATACCACTGAATCGATAAAACATGGGCGTAACCCAAAAAATACACCTCAGGCTAACTGTTTTATGAGACTGTCTTATTAGAGGGGTCATAAAACAAAATAAGTAGTCCGACCATGGTTGGACAAGGAGACCTTGCACAGTATTATCAAAAACCCAAACAAATTTGAAGAAACTGCGCTGATAATACACAGTTTAAACCACAGGAGTAAGTGGCCAAGGATGGGAAAAAAATCTTATCACAATTTGTGTGTATAACAAAAAACAATAACGGACACAGACCCAATCCATTTGGGCATGTGTGTGTTTTTTTGCCACAACAAAAATCCAAACAACAAAAACAAATCAAAGACAGTGTTCTACCCCACCCAGATTCATGACTCTGCTGATTATTCTCAAGATTTCTCTTTTTTTGCTATTGCTATACTGCCTGGCTTTTATTGTTAAGAATTATTACACTTGGTAGAAAGCAAAGGAGGGAATGCAGAAGAGGAGTGGATGTCCTGGGAGGTAATAAGTTTCCCTACCAACAACAAAATCATCAACCACAGACAACAGGGTGCTGGTTCGCAGAGAAGCAAGGAGTTTGGAAAACAGAGTCATTTCTAACTTCATCCTACTCATTATCAGGCACAAGGTCGCCCTGAGGCCGTCTCTGTTCGCGAGAAGAGGAATCATGATGGCCATTGATAAGGGGAGGGAAGCGAAGGGGCAGTCTCTGGCCTAAAGGCTCTGAACGCGAGGTGATCTCTGGATCTAGCGCTCCCCTAGCAAAGGAGAGAGGCCTACATCTCCCCCAACAGCCTGCCTGCTCGCTACGGTAGCTTTTCCACCGAAAAGGGGCGAAAATCCTCCTCCTCCTCCTCCCCCCGCCGTCCGGCCCCGGCCTCTCAAGGAGCGCGGTTCTAACTGGGGCTGGGCATGGCTGAGGCGGGTGGCTTCCGGGGAGGGGGGGGGTTGTTCTCCGCCTCGCTCAACCCACGGAAGAGGCGGGCCTGTGCTCAGCGCAGCGGGGGGGCCCCTCGGTCTACAGCCCGGGATTCACTATCTTGCCTTCATGGTGAAGGAAAAAAGTTGGGGCTTTTCTTTCCCGCCCCAATTGAACAACAACAGAAAAGGCAAAAGACACGCCAATAAATTTCGGTCGGGGGGAAAGTTGACAAGTTTGCAAAAGTTATTTTTTTTAAAGGGGGGGGGAAGCCTTCGGATTACAAAAAAAAAAAAGGAAATACGGTGAAACCGCCTTTCTCCCCCCCTCTTGAGCGGTCGTCTGGCTCCGGTGGAGTTGTTTTCACACACACAGAGACAGACAGACAGACACGGCCGCACCCTCCCCTTCAAGCCTTTCCCCCCACACACACACACCCACACACACTCACACAAAACGCGGCTTCCCGCCCCGTCCTTTCCGCTCAGGCGGCGAGAGAGCGAGCGAGAGCCACCCGGGCCCCGGAGGAGGAGGAGGAGGAGGAGACGGGCGCGGCGTGGAGAGACCGGCTCGCTACCCGCAGCCGGCGGGCGCGGGCGGAGCAGTGGAGGCGGCGGTGGCGGCGGCGCTGCTAGCAGCACAGGCAGGAGCCATGTCAAGAGAAGGCCACCAAGAAGCCGCCGAGCTCCCCCATCCCCGCTGCGCTGTCCACGAGGACCGGGCCGCCCGCTCTGCCGCTGCTCAGCCCCAGCAGCCTGGTCCCCATAGCCTAAGCTCGGCGCCCCGGAGCCGCCGGGGGTGGGCAAATGGTGGTGGCGGCGGCGGCGGCGGCGGGAGGAGGAAGAAGAGAAGAGGCGGCGGCGGCCGGGCCGGGCGGTCCCTGCGCTACCAGGCTCCTCACGCGAAGGGCAGGAGGCAAGAGAGCGAGCGGAGCCCCCCTCCCGTCCCCTCAGGCGAAGGGTGGCAGAGCCGACGAGTCTCTCGGGCCGGGCGACGCGGAAGGAGACGAAGCAGCACCCGCAGCGGAAAACCCCCTCAAAATGGCAGCCGACGCCTCGCCTGCTCGCCAGAGTCACACGCACGCACACTCACTCACTCTGAGGCTCCGCCCGTGACCCGCTGCGCAAGCGCGCTGGGGTCGACCGTACCATCTCTGTCCTAGAAGGGGTGGGGAAGAAAGACACGTCGAGTCCAGCGGCGCCTTTAAGATTAGCAAAGTTTCATTCAAGGTGTAAGCTTTCGTGTGCACGCACACTTCCTCAGATAGAATGAAACGGAAGTCACCTGGTCATATAGCTAGAAAGAGGGTGAGCAGCAAATGAGCATAAGCATAAAATAAAGGCTGTCTAGCAGATGCAAGGACCAAACTGAAAGAACAATCTTAGTTGATAATGGGCACCATTTGTTTGGGTTTAATTCTGGGGGGGAAACATAGAGAAGGATATAAATATATGATATCAAAAATTGAGATTTATATGCAAACGTACCCTTCTTAATTGGGGAATGCTGAGAGTAATTAACTGAGACCCTGTTGTTACCCTCCATCACTCTCTCGAGTATGGTTTGCTCCTTGCCACTGCCTAACAACTTTTATTATGCTTATGCTCATTTGCTGCTCACCCTCTGTCTATATGCACTAGTAACTTCTATTTCCGTGTATCTGAAGAAGTGTGCTTGCACACGAAAGCTTATACCTTGAGAATAAAGCTTTCCTGGTCTTAAAGGTGCCACTGGACTCGATTTTTGTTCTGCTGCTTCAGACCAACACGGCTACCCCACCTGAATCTAAAGGGCGTGGGGTGAGAGAGGAATAGACAAAGTAAAAGTGGGTAGATAATATTGAGGTAGCTTGATCTGGTTTGGAGCTCCTGCGTTAATTTATTACTGAACAAGCCACTGGGCAGGCTCCATCAAGACTCTTTTTTTCTTCTTTTTGTTCGGTGTTTTTTTGCTGCCGGAAAAGTGCGTCAGCAGGGACCGTCACCGCCGCCTTGCACCACGAAGTTATGCAAGTTAAGCTCCCCCCGTCGTCACTAACTGCTGGTTTCATATGTTTGTTTTTTAAAGCCATTGTAATGTATTTTGAAGGAGCTGCGGTGGCTCAAGTGGTTAAGACGCTGAACTGCAGGCTGTGTGGAAGGTCAGTAGTTCAGCAGTTGGAGACCCGGGTGCCGCATGATGGAGTGAGCTCCCATCTCTAGTTCCAGCTCCTGCCAACCTAGCAGTTCGAAAGCGAGAAATTGCAAGTAGATAAATAGGGGACCACTTCGGTGGGAAGGTAACAGCGTTCCGTGCGCCTTGGTGTTTAGTCAGGCCAGCCACATGACCACGGAAACGTCTCCGGACAGTGCTGGCTCTTCGGCTTGGAAACGGGGATGAGCACCGCAACCCTAGAGTCGGACTCGACTGGCTTTCGAGCAAGGAAACCTTTGCCTTTACTGATGTATTTTTGGTCACTGATTTGCATTGCTATTGCGTGAGTCACTCCGGAATTTACATCGTTTATATTGTGCCGAAAGGCGGGGCGAGTGCTTTCAATAAACACGGTGGGGACAAACTCTTGACAGAGAATTTGGTTTTTTAAATATCCCACTTCTATGTTAATAGAAATGGAAGGGAGGCAAAGATCGATCTTCGGCCTCTTTTTGAATGCGAGTTGGTTGTTAAAGGGCATTTGCGCTGACTGTATTATGGTCACGCGCTATTTGTCTTGAGATAAGCCGAAGCTATTGAATGTTCCCTCCTTCGCTCTTTTGTGTGCCGCCGGCTTCGAAATCTTTGTGGTGCAGCTTGCCTCGAAAGAATGACATGGGTCGCGTCTATTACCCTGCTCGCCAGTTTTCTTAAAGACAGGAAAGCACCGTCCCAACCAGTCCTACGGAGTCAGCAGAACAGAGGAGGCTGCGCTTTGTCCCCCCCCCCCCCCCCCCCCCCCGTGTTCTAAGCCTTGAGCTGCACAGAGCTCAGCCAAGACAGACCTCACAGACCCGTCCTCCGCGAAGATCTCTGCGCTGGAGAGTTTACCTGTTCGCGAAGCAACAACAGATCATGGGGGGTTTTCCACAATAAATTCCAGAGTTAGATGTGGTTTTGTTTGGTTTCCTGCAGACAACAATAATAATAGAAATTGGGACACCTTCATGTATCTCTTGATGTGGGCTCCCGCTTTCGAAAGCGTATGCCGGAATAATGTCGTCTTTCAAAGTGACAGGAGACCCTCTTTCAGTGTTTTGGTAGCCGCAGACTAGCAGCCGCTACCTCTCGGGAATCTAATAAACCACGGGAATATTATACATGGTCATGTGTGACTTGACCTAACCTATTTCCCCCATCTTCCTGACAAGTTCTGTGCTTTCCTGAGAACTGTCCAACGTGCTGCTGCTGTACCTGTTGAATTTCTATCCTGCAGCTGTTACAGCGAAAAAAAGTTTAGCAGCAGCAGGAACAAAAAAGCGGCAATGCTCTGTGCTTTGGACCGTCCGTCCCACCACTGCACGGGAAAATGTTCAAGCAGCTGAAGAAACAACCCCGGCCTTCTCCTCCCCCCACCCCCTTGCCGGTGTGGATCTCGGACCCTCCCATGATAACGCTCAAGTCTCCGCTTATCTCGCCCAGTTCCTCCCCATCCTTTTTCCTGGAAGAGAACAGACACAAAGGACTGCGCGCGCGCCTTTTTTCCTGAAACTACCGGAAGGACGCCGAGTTCTGCCCAGAGACAGGCTTGGATTCCTTAGCCCCGCCTTCTCCCCTTGACGAACGCCATCTCCGCCTCTGACGTCACCCCCCATTGCCTGACCTCCCTTAAGATCCCGGGAACAGGGTGAGCGCGCGCTGAGCATGTCGCGTGCGGCCTTGTTATGTAATTTCTACTGAAACCTGCAAGGAGGGCTGTCGTTCTCTCACTACCCGACTTTCGTAAGAACCAATAATAAAATGTGCAGTTGCCAGCTGAAAATGGTGCGCATGCATTTAAATCATCTCA